GCCATCGAACTAAGCACATGTCATGGCCACATCAATTGATAGCAGATCAATAGCAAAGATGCTTCAAACACACTCGTTTTTGTGCATAAGATGATCTTAACTTGCCTTTCTATTCAAGTAACAACATATCAACCAAAAGCATGCATACGAGGGATTCATTATCTCAACAGTTGGTACGGTTCTTCCGGAAATTCTCCGGGCAACGTCCCCTAATCCAAGGGTGACGACTTTTCATCTGAACTTAATTGGGCAATGTCCCCTAATCGCGACGGCTATTCATCTGAAATCCATCGGGCAACGTCCCCAATCAAGGGCGACGACTATTCTTTTCCCTCGTGCGACCATGCCAACAAGCGTCATACTAACTTGAGTACTTCACACGAAGTGTGTATCATACCATGTTGCCTCTAAAGTCTTAAGTCATGCCAGGCACGAAACCAAGCTCGTGGCCCGAACTGACCGGTCATGATGTCGACCTACACCAAGCAAGGCTTGGATCAATACGCCTCAATACCAACCCTCCAAGCAAGGCTCGTTCCGACACGCCTCGACACCTATCCGAACCAAACGAGATTCATTCATGGCCCTGGGCATGCTTTCACACATGACACCGAATACATGAGCAAACCTTACAAAATGCATAAACATGCATGGCAAGCTATATCAAGCATTTCACAAGCAACAGAATCTATGCAAGCACAACAACAACATGACTCGCCCAACAACGTAACACGATACCCTAGTCAAGGTTTAGTAAGTCTACTTAGTACTCTCCAAGGTCATGACCAAGTATGGCCTAGGGGTGAGCCGAGCGGCAAGGTCACAGTAAAGACACGACGCGGCACGGGCACGGGCGCGGGCAAGGGTGCGGCTGAAAAAGAGAGAGAGAGAGAGAGAGAGAGAGAGAGAGAGAGAGAGAGAGAGAGAGAGAGAGAGAGAGAGAGAGAGAGAGTGGTGATGGTGGAATAGTGAGCTAAAGAGGTGAAAATGCAAGAGAGGGCTCCTCTATTTATAGGCCTCTTGCTAACTTGCTAGAGAAGTTAGCCAATTTACAAGGTAAGTTATCCAAGCCAACTTGCAAGGTAAGTTAGCCAACTTGCAAAGTAAGTTATTCAAGCCAACTTACAAGGTAAGTCAGCCAACTTGCAAGGTAAGTTTCTAAAAAAGCCATTGACTTGATTAAATCAACTTGTCTTCTTTTCCCAAGAAGCATTATAGGCGTGAATTATGTGGCCCTATCATTAACACTGAATAATTAGGGTCCTTGCTAATTCTGATGGCACATCTTCCTTTGAACACCCCATTTTCACTTAAACTTGACTTAATAAGAAACAAAGGTAATTAGGGGTTTCAATTGCCATCAACGATTGACCATCCCATTTGGAACCAAGGTTTGGCGTAAAAATATGTCTGAGTGTGATTGGACACAACTGAGCCAAAGACCGGGCTGAATGGCACAAGGCCGGATCAGGCAAACTGACCAGGCACGAGGCCTATTCGGTTGGGTCTGATCAAGCGCGAGAACTGGTATACGGTTGGGCTACACGGGCACAGGGCTGGGCATACTGCTAGGCCATACAGGCGTCGGGCCGGCTGCACGGCCATAAAGCCGAGTGCACGAGCATGGTGCTGGACCGCACGAACGGTGCACTGAACGCAAAGCTGGGCCACACAAGCGAGGGACCAGTTAAGGGACCAAACACATGCAGTGGCTCACGGACGGGCATAATGCATGGCTTGTGGCCAAGTCTGTTTAGCATGGAACTGGGCCGGAGCCGAATCTAATGGGCACAAAGCCTGGCACAAGGGTCGGGCACAAAGACTGGCACACGACCGGGCACACGACCGAGCATAGGGTCGGTTCGTGGCCTAGCTAATGGGCACAAGGCTTGGCTTGCGTGACCGGCACAAAGCTTGGTCCGCGACCAAGCCACGAGGCTCTTGACTTGGCACATGGCTCATCCATGGCCTTCCCAACTCAACGCAACGATTCATGTCCGATTTGCAACGGTCCATGTTCGAATATCAATAATCCATGATCGACCCTCAGTTGTTATGTAGCCATGTGGAATTGAGTACTACGAAATCAATCCATGGTCATCTGCGATCGATGCATGGCCGAGTGGAATCAACCGCGACCGACACATGCCCGCATGGCACTAATCCATGGTTGTCCCGGATCGTCTCACTAACAACCTTTATGGTCGAAAGGTCAATCCATGGTCAGATCACTTTAATCGGCTTGCGTGATTGGGGAGTCATTCCATTGTCGATCCTTTGATCAATCCATGAACAATCTTTTGATCGAGCCATGACCAGCCCTCAGTACACTTGTTCCAACTGTACTATCTATTTGATTACCGACCCTCGGATCGGATCGCTCGCCAATTACATTACCATTTGTCTTTGGTCATCTTGGTCCAAATTGGGGATGTTACACAAGTGGTGTTTAATGAATTTTATTTTGCAAAGGGCTTTGGCTAGGAATTTTTTTAATGAAAAAAAGAAGAAGCAAATCCTTTGCCTGAGCCGGGGAAGGGCTATGGCCCTAGGCGAGTCAAATCTGGAGCCGACGGCCGTTACCTGAGATCTGGCAAGGGTGATCCTCCCCCAGGTCGCAAGGGTCTAACCCTCACCAGATCCGGCGACTGCTGCCCTCGCCAAGGTCGCGAGGGTTTAACCCTCGCCCGAGCCGGCGACGGCCGCCCTCCCCTATGGCCGGCAAGGGCCTTACCGACCTTGCTGGTCCTTGCTTGTGGCCGGTCGCTAGCCATGGCAACCGGCCACAGGCAAAGGAGAAGGGAGGAAAAAAAAACAAAGAAAAAAGGGAAAAAAAAAAGAAAAAATTATTAACAAATTCAACAAATTATTAAAAAATTATTAAAATTTGTCCACGTTAGCGCTGGCCGTGTCACGTCAGACGTCCAGCATCCACATCAGTGATTTCCGGCATAAATTGACCGAATGGACTAGATTGGTACTAATGTGAAAATGTTTAGAACTAAATTGATTCAATTGAAAGGTTTATAATTGAATTGGTACCAATACAATAGGTTTAAGACTTTTTTGGTACTTTTCCCTATGTGCGACACTAATAGCAAATGAGTTTTTAATCTTAGACTAGTATATATCCACAACTCGATACTCGACTCAAGTTCAATCCAACCTAATTGAGTTTTTAATCGACTCTCGAGCTCGACCCGACTTGATCAGGCAAGTAAATGTTCGTCTAAACCTCCAGCTAAACTTGAAATTGAATTCGAACTCTGATTTTCCAGTACGATATTAACTAAACTAGTTATCGATTAAACTTAAAATGCACGAGTGTAACTAAAACATACGAAAAGATCAATCACTTGATTATGCTTGGGATGCTTTGAGTAAAAGCATGTTTAAGCTGGAGCTAAATTCAACTAAGCACTCGATTACTCGAACTCAATAGGAACCGAGCCAAGCTCATGTAACTCCAATATAGCTCGACCCAATTACACCCCTACGCTCACGTCCGGATATCACGCGACGTTGAAATTCTATATGTAATCTAGGAAAATTCATAGAACGACAATGATAAAGTACGAATAGCCAAACCGTTACGTATAATAAGAAATATCGCGAAAATTCATATTAAATGATGGCGATAAATTTTTGTTGGCTGTATAAAGAAGGGTTATCGTTTAATTCATGGATCCACGTTCCTTGGTAAATTAAGCTTCAGAAAAAGAAAAAAGCCAGAAAAAGGAAAAGAAAAGAGGGCATAGATGATAGATTTTCCACGGTGGAGACACGTCAGAAGAGGCTGGAAATGGTGAGAAATCCAAAAGATCCCAAGTTTGACCGGTGGAAACTGAGAATGAGCTTCTTGGTCCACGTCAACGCCTGAGTTTGACGTTTACTTCACTTGTAAGGAAAATCAAAACACACCCCATTTTAAACAAAATCAAATGACTACATTTAAAAAAAAAAGGATTAATGCCACGAAAAATCTCAAACTAATACATTTATGACAAATTTATCCCAAATTATATTTTTGACCATAAAAAATCTCAAACTGATATACTTATGATAATTTTATCTCGAACTATTTTTTGACCACCAAAAACTCCACACTAGTACACATGTGACAATTTTACTCCGAACTAATTTTTTGACCATCGAAAATCCCAAACTGGTACATTTGTGACAAATTTACCCTCCGTTAGTTTCCGTTAAATTTTACTGTCAAATTGCTAAGTTTAACGACACGTAGTAATTGACAGGTGTACCGATTTGGAGTTTTACCCCTATGCTTGTCACAAGTTTATCAATTTGTGATTTTTCGTGATATTAATCCAATTTAACGGACACTAACGGAGGGTAAATTTGTCAACAAATGTACTAGTTTGGGGTTTTTAGTGGTAAAAAAATTAGTTCGGGGTAAAATTGTCATAGGAGTATCAGTTTAAGGTTTTTTGTGGTCAAAAAAATAGTTCGGGGTAAAATTATCATAAGTGCACCAGTTTGGGGTTTTTGGTGATAAAAAAAATAGTTCGAGATAAAATTATTATAAATGTACAAGTTTAGGATTTTTAGTGATATTAACCCCGAAACTACCTATTAATCCTGCGCTCGCATATATCCTATTTTAAGAAGAAAAGAAAAGGGCTAATTTCTCTCTCGATTCTACTCCCTCCCGAACACCCCCCCCCCCCCCCGCGATGCTACGCTGTCGACTGTCGCCATGTCGGTTCTGTCCCGAACAAAATCCGACCCTAAACAAGAATTGATTTTTCTCTCACTCTTCTTTCTTCTCCTCCTTGTTCTTGTCCCTCGCGAGCATGCCAGGATGGAAGGGAGAAAAGGAAAAATGTCATGCGGAAAAAAAAGCCATTTTTGACAGATGAAAACGAGAAAACTTTGGAGAGCATGTCATATCGGTTTGTTCCACTCAGATTCTTGTCGGCCTCCCGGAATTTGCATTGGAATCTTCCGTCCGAGACTCCCCCCCAAACAAAACCTCGTCAATCACGCCTTGGACAATTCCGCTGTTGTCTCTGTCTCTCTCCTTTGACGCGCAATTCCCACGGCATCCCGTTTTTCTAATGCCCCCAAAACCCAGCTCAAGATAGAGTCTCTCTCCCCTTTCCTTCCCCCATTCGCTGCTTTCACTTTCCCAACGAACGGCGATCGTTTCTGGCGCCAAGATCGAGGATACCCACCAAGAAAGATCGCTGCCCGGGTGGGAAAAACCGGAGCTTGAGATGTCTGGATCGTGCTACGGGCACCTGGAGCGGTGCTTCGGCTGGGGCGGCGGCGACAAGCTCGCGTGGCACGTCGATCTGAAGCCGCACGCTTGTGGGGATTACTCGATCGCCGCCGTGCAGGCGAATTCATCGCTGGAGGATCAAGCTCAGGTCTGGACGGCCTCGTCGACGACGTACGTCGGGGTCTACGACGGCCACGGCGGGCCCGAGGCGTCCCGCTTCATCGCTCGCTCTCTGTTTCCCTTCCTTCATAGTAAGTCCCCTCCGTTCTTTTGGGTCTCTGCTGGGGAAAGTCTTTTGTGAATTTCAAAGAAGATTGAATAAAAGATAAATCTTGATCGATCGGCTTGATGTGTCTTTTGAACTCTGGAAACTTAGCGGTGATAATAGTGCAAGTCCTTGATCGAAGTCGCTTGTGCCGAAATACCCTCCTCATTAAATTTGCTTCCTTACGTATTTGGTCAGAGTGTGCGTCGGAGCATGGTGGAGTATCCTCTGAAATCATCAAAAAGGCATTTGATACTATAGAAGAAGAGTTCTTGCACTTTGTGAGGCAATCTTGGCCCGTCCGGCCGGAGATCGCGTCCATGGGTTCATGTTGTCTTGTTGGAGTGATTTCGAGCAATACTCTCTATGTGGCGAATCTTGGTGACTCGAGGGCAGTGCTCGGCCGAAGAGTATCGGAGAAAAATGTAAGTGGCGCGGTGGTGGCGGAGAGATTGTCCACTGATCATAATGTTTGTGCTGAGGAGATTAGGAAGGAGGTGGAGGCCCTCCATCCGGACGATTCAGGTATTGTTGTGAATACTCGCGGCGTTTGGAGAATCAAGGGAATAATTCAGGTACTGATTAAACTTCCCTTTTAAAGCAGTTCTGCTTTTGAAATGACCTTCCTTTACTGGGCAGTTTAACAATCCAAAGATAATACGACTGGGTGTATGATTGATCTGTAAAAAGAATTTGCAGCATGTGTCTTTGAATCTTACATAATTCTTCAGTCCTTTTTACTGATTGAAAACTCTTAATCAGTTATTACAAATCGGTGTACGATTGATCTATAAAGAGAATTTGCAGCACGTGTCTTAAAATCTTGCGTAATTCTTCAGTCTCTTTACTAGTTGAAAACTACAAATCAGTTATTCTTTGGATGTAAAGCAAGATGAGTTTTAACATTGTTTGGACGAGAAGGGTTCTCTTAAATCTTGCGTAATTCTTCAGTCTCTTTACTAGTTGAAAACTACAAATCAGTTATTCTTTGGATGTAAAGCAAGATGAGTTTTAACATTGTTTGGACGAGAAGGGTTCTCTCTCTCTCTCTCTCTCTCTCTCTCTCTCTCTCTCTCTCTCTCTCTCTCTCTCTCTCTCTCATGACAGGCATAACCGAAGCGAGTCAGGAAATGTACCGTGTTAAGAAAAATCAGGGGATTAGGCTATTGGATCCTTATTCTTGGGTGTAACCCATGACAAATGGAAAGCCTTCTTAACTTGAATCATGTAACACTAATCAACATAACGATGTGATAGTCAAGGTAAATTCACATCTAGTGCGGCCCTTGATAAGTTAGGTAACTCTCAAAGGAGATCTATGAACTATAATGGTCGAGCGTGATGTTGAATATCGACTCTTCAGTCTTCACAAATGTTAAAGTAGGCGATTTTGGAAATGTCTGTTAGGTATAGAAAATTAGTTGGAGAAGAACTACCGTGGTACTGCTGAAAAGCTCGTAAACATAATCAGAAAGTGTCCCTTTCATGATGCCCATGTAATATTTGCTGGCTACCTTACTGTTTTTGCTCTCTTTGTGAGAGAATTCTCCTTCAGTTTTCAGAGAATTCACTATTTGATACGTGTAAATTACATGATCTTCATATTCAGACGGAGTTCATTCATCTGGATGAGCCATGATCGTGATATTGTAGTTTATTTATTTCTCTCAGCGACTAAGCTGTCAATCCATTCTTTGACATCTGCAGAGTGAATGTAATTTGCAATATGAAGCTATTGTGAGCGCGATGTTGCGATAAGGACGTTTTTTGAGTTCTGTTACATCTAGTTTTCTAGACTTGCAGTGATGCACTATTATGTGTATACATGAACTTTGGTTTTAGTTGTTTGCGTTTTTGTTGTAGCAGTAATTTATATCACCGAATGCCTTTACGATTTCCAGTTGCCTAATGTTTTTTCCTTTATAGGTGTCAAGATCAATTGGAGATTTCTACTTGAAGAGACCCGAGTTTAATCAATGGGGGCCAGCAATTCCATTAAGAAGGCCTTTAATGACAGCGGAACCCTCTATAGTAATTCGAGAATTAAAGAAAAATGACTTATTCTTAATATTCGCCTCAGATGGTCTCTGGGAGCATTTGACTGATGAAACAGCCGTTGAAATTGTCTCAAAATATCCACAAGCTGTGAGTATCTTTTCCTTTTTCTCTTTAGATTTTCATTCTGCCTTCTCCACGTCTTAATGTGAGCAATTACGGTTAATGTTTGATGCATATGCTAGAAGTAGAATCATGTATAAGTAGATACTTCCAGCGGCCAACTTTCATGGCAGAAAACTTTTTAATGACATTCTCCAGGAACAATCCTAATCAAAGAATAGTTATTGGAACTTCACCATTTGTCACTCGATTAATACTGCTTGTGGATAGATCTTTCTTTCTTGGTAATGGTGTGCATGCAAACAATCCAAAGACCTACTTGTTTCTACGTGCTTATTTGGGCAGATGAGCTGTGATTATACCTATTAATCTTTGGCTTCCCAAACTAGAAGGAAAGTATTTTACGTCTGCCCGCAAACAATTGAGTAGTCATGAACTATTTGTGACCATCAAATTCATCCGCTTGACATCTCGATTCATGATGCAAATGATCTTGTTGTGTGACATGAGAAACAAAATTTGCAGGGGATAGCCAAGCGACTGGTGAGAGCTGCCCTTCAGGAGGCCGCGAGGAAAAGAGAGATTCGATTTGATGACATAAAGAAAATTAAGAAGGGCATAAGACGGCATTTCCATGACGATATATCGGTGGTCGTGGTTTTCTTCGACCACTCGCATGATTCTCGTAATTCTAGAGTCGTGCGTCGAGACAACTATGACAGCACAACCGTGCCTGTCGATATTTTTTCACATAATGCAGATGAAGCTGATTGCTGATGTATAAATCAGATAAATCTGATGTACAGTATCGATAACGAGAGTGTCCAAGACGATACATCTCATACACAATCGCTATAGATTAGACAGTTGTACATAAGTTCTGACGTGGAGAATCCGCTAGTCGTAGGTAGTAGATGCTTGTGACTTTTGAGGGATGTTCTGTTGTGAGGTTTGTTATAAAGCTACACATACAGGGCAATGAAAATCTCATCAGAGATGGACCAAATGAGATGCTACTCGACCATTTTTGCTTTCAAGCCATTTTATTTGTACTTGATGGCCTCATACAGATGCCTATCTTCGTTACAGATCAATGGAAGAATCAATAGAGGTCCTTGTTTGGTTATCAAAAAAAAAAATAGAGGTCCTTGTTTTGATCTGGTTTGACATGGGTTTGCGTTTTGGCTAAGGTTTGCAGAGCATCATTTCTTACCTCATCTTTGGGCCCCTTCAAAATGAATGTCATTAACATACGACTACAAGTTACATGGTGACAATGGTTTGCTTGAATTCTTTGAGAAATTTATACTTTGTTCACATTTCACCCGTTTACCACTTTGCACCTTGTTATCTCAAAAATTGCTACTGAGAAGCCAATAACATCCATCCGACTTATTATGACAATCTATCGAATTGCACTGCAGTCGTTGTGCTTACCAATGTGATGATGCTAGTTGAGAAAGGAATAACAACTCGACTTCTGGGTTGGATGGTTTTTATGATCATAACTAGGTCGAATGTAGAAAGAAAATGAATTTAAAGAAAACAGAAAGGGAAAATGCAGCGGCCAATGTGGGCCAACCCGCAAATGCGACGCGGCAATCGTAGGGGGGCAGCCCGACGCGGTATGTTTATTTTCAGTGTCCGATAGAACTGATTCTTGAGTCCACGGAAAGCTCGCAAACCAAACTTTCAAAAAATGTGGTTTGATTTCCGCAAACTGTAGGGTTTGTGGATTTTGGCGAATAGGTCCAACCTGGGTGACCGAAGTGAAAGGTCAGTGACATCTCCATTTGTAAACCCAATCGAGGCGGTTCTTAGCGTTGGAAAGTTTAAGACTAGATCTATATGATCTCATCACTTAATATGCGGAAAACGGCACTTTTCCCGACTCCATTGGGATCGGACGGCTATAGTTAACAGCCGTAACATCTAGTGATCCGACCGTTCAATTTGGGCGCATTGGGTATTGTCAAAAATGTCTTGCAGAATACAACCCAATTGCATCCTTCGGTTGAAATTTCATGGAGGTTTCTGCTGGTTAGATCTCAATAAAAATTAGGTGTCTTACGGTTACATTTATCTAATTCTTTGATCAATTTACCACCTAAGAAAATCAATCGGTCTACCACATGCAACATCAAACAAATTCTTTATTCCGATTACAACTTGCGGTTGTCACTGTGCATTTGGTGTGACACCTAAAAAATAGGGAGTAACTGTCGATGCCACTCCTCCACTACTTTAGTGCGTACAACCACCCCTCTACTTCTTTGGGAACGTGTAAAGAAGAGAGAGACAGAGAGGGAACAGTTAAGAGTTAATGTACTTTGGGTTATTCCTCTGTTTTTTTCTCTACGTTGTGGGTGAAATAGAACTTGGGGGTCTGGGTTATCTCTTGTAAGGGAATCTTGGGTGTGCAGTATCTCTGTGATTGTGAGAGTTGTACTGTGAAAAGATTCACGGTTAAGAGTGCGACCCACTGTTTGGTGTTTGTCGGGTTGAGGGGTGTGCGTTGTAATTTCTCATGTTATACAAGTGAGTTCCGTGTGCTTGCCCCGTGGATGTAGACAGACTTATCTGTCGAACCACGTAAATTTGTGATCTCCTCTTTATTTTGCTGCACTTGTTTTTCTTATCACTTCGTGCAACGTACGTACCGATTACGTGAGGTGAATTAGCGCAACATTTGGTTGGTCAAGTGGTCCAAGACTTGCTTTGTGAGTCGGAGGTCACCATTTCAATTCTTCATTCTTAGGTGTATTGCCGGTCTCGGGCTCCCCATTCATATCGCGGTGGGGACGTGGTGGCGAGCTCGCCTAATGGGCAATTGGTGCTTTATTGGCACTTAAACCTAACATTCTAGCAGTGGGTACGATAGTTTCCAAACTGAATAGAAATCATTTTCCCGGCGAAAAGAAAAAAATGCATAAGTTGTAGAGTTGTTGTTGTCCTTTGTTAGGATGTAAAGGCTGATAACTAGCCTTGAAAATCTGTATCATATGGATATGCTGAATATGATCCAATTATTGCATCTTTAATACCTTTCCAGTCAGCCTAGAATAATGTGGACATATAGCCACAGGAATTTTTTGCTCCGTTTTTTTCTTGTCATGACCCCGAAGGAACGGAGAACAGGCGAGAACCACACCTTCTAGACTTCTTTCTCAAGACTCGAGAATGAATTCATATCCTTTCTCGAGAAAAAAGTACCAAAAATTCTTAAATCCATTACACTCATGTCAATTCAGTCCTAAACTGTGGAAATTGTCCACGTCTCGTTAGTGATTACCGATCAAAATTGACTGGATCGACTACATTGGCAAAATGTCAAAAGATTTAAGACTCAATTGGTACAATTGAAAGGTTTAGGACTGAATTGGCATCAGTGCAATAGATTCAAGACCTTTTTGGTACATTTCCCCCCTTTCTTGATCATCAATTATTTATTTTAATCATGAGAACTACAACTTTTGATTTCTGAATTCCGGCGTGTCCGGAACCGATTATGATTCCCGACTATCAGGAACTCCGAGACTATGAAATTTAGCTCGCTTGAGGGGACATTTTTTACTTTACTAGCACAGTGAAAGAACTAAGTCCAACTTGAAGAATCTTTCACAGTTGCTAAAGGGCCTTATCCACTTTCATTTTCATGTTTGACCATTAAGCCAACTTGTGTTCATTTCGCTATGCTCTTTATTCTTTATTCGCAGATCATTTTGTTTGGGAGCAACAGAGAGCATCCTCCATTTGATGCTCAACCAGATATATTTTCTTTTGTCAGTTTGGTCCCCGTTTGGTGCTTTCACGTGATAGAGAATCCGAGTATGTTAAGCCACTGTTTGTCTCGTAAAAGATAAAATGATTTCGGAAAATTTTTTTCTAAAAATAATCGCTTGTATCACTTGAAATAATTAGTTGATAAAAAATATTTTCATTATCGACAACATTTGTGCCTCACATTGGGCCACAACTAAAGTTTTAGTAGCTTCAATTTCTCTTGAAATGGTCATTACTGGAGATCCATGTGGGAAGGTTTTTTACTTAAAAGGAGACACTTAGTTAAAATGAGGATGAGCATACAGCTAGATTGAGCATCGGAACCGATCTTGACCTCGATTTCAGGATTCGAGACCAAGTTTTGCATTCCTTTCTCCATTGTCGGCCGTATGATCAAAGCAGAAGCGATGCGATCATACCTATTCAATTCATTGAGATGAAGCGACAATCAACGTAGCATGCTTGACAAATTGTTTAGTCATGTGAGTTTTAGTGCAAACGATAAAACAAAAGATACCCAGAAAAAAAAAACAATTCGGAAAGGACAAAGATGTGTAACACGCGATTAAAAATCTCATTTGACGGCAGGGGACGACCAATTAGGGGAAGCTCACGTGGCCAACTTTCTCTTATAGAAATGAAGGAATCATTCAAATTGCGAAATAACGAATGACAACAAGTGTCACTAGCAAGAGTGGGAGGGTGACGCGGTGAATACTATTAATGAGAGACGACAAACGCCCACCCAGTTTCCACTCCAATTGCATCGCCATGGGCTGGCATCAACGAGCCACGACGGCAAAAGTTACTGTAATTAGACCAAAGTTCCAATCATAGACTCAGGAGACAGCTAAGCATCGTGCTGTCGTCCAAGGTCGGTTGGTTTCATTGGGCAAACTGTGCTTTCGGCCTTCTTTGACAACTCGAATGATGGAAACCCCATTGCCCATGTTTGTCGACACCATGATGCATTGTTTCGGAGCAGCCGCAAAGTTATTAAATCGATGATGATTAAATTTTGGGGGTATAATGTACTTTTGAGAAGGGCAGAGTGTGTGGAGATGGAGGTCGATAATTAGCTCTAAGTTTCAGTGGGAGTTGGTAGCGTTGCACGGAATGACAATCGACACTCGTTTGGGTTGATTGTGGACTAGACATCGGCCCACGCTTTGTGCTGATAATTGTACTTGGTTATAGACTGACCATTATGTCACGTGTTTTTTTGCTGCTTTGTGTTGCCGGCTCGACACCAATTGGGCGAATATTATGATTCGGATTGTCATGTCATATGTATTTTTTTAGGGATAATTGCACAACTTGTCTTGAACCTATTGAGCGGAGACCAATTGAATCATAAATCTTTTGATTGAATCGATGTAATCCTAAACTTTTGAGGGAACATACAACCAAGTTCTCTCGACGAAATCTCGCTAGATTTATCTAACGTGATAATCTAGTAATTGCCGGTTATCCCATGTTTAACAATACCAACGTAACGTTGATGAGATAACATTATTTTTCTTCTGGTTTTTCTGATGTTTTTTAATTTTCCTTCTTTTTTCTTTTTTTTCTTCTTTTTCTATGCACGAGTTACTCTTCATTGTCTTCAAGCTTGTGATAGCTCTACCAAAACTCCTCCAGACACTCATTTGTCATCGCCCATTGTTGCCTGGATCCAGCCACCTCTATGGCCATGATTGATGACCTTGAGCTCCATGGTCGCAGGCGAGAGAAAGAAGAGTCGACTAAATACGAGAGAAGAAAAGAAGAAAAGAATAGTGACTTTCTATGACAGTTCCACTGGGTATGCCTTTCATTATATTTGTAGAGGCATTAGATGGCACCACCACAAGATAGGAAAAAGGGTATATGTGATCCTTAACATTTTTCTTCATGGGTTCAAATTCGAGACACATTCCGAACACTTACGACCGTCCGACTAATTGTCGGACCACGCCACCACAAATGAAGGACCAAAAAGTTCCATTTTCGTGGTTGAAGAAGAACCTCTCCTACAGTTTTGGACGAGTGTTGGTATCCTTTTGACGAGAGGCAAGGAAATGATTCTCGGAAAGGCAGTGAGATTTCCTTCCACAAACTGACCAATCGGTGATTCCATTTTGATATATACTTGAACGTGAAGCTGAGCTGCATTGCATCCACTTTGGCCCTAGTAGATGCTGCTGACTCCTCAGTATCTCCAACTCACTATCACGTGTAGCACAAAGTTAAATGACATATGGGCAGTGCGGTC